TTTGTGTTAACATGTGGCACAGTGACGTGTTCTTCTAATCTGCAGGTTCTTCCAAGCTGCGTATGAGGAGGCGTTTGGCAGGGGTCAAAGGTCATTTTGGTCCCATCAACTGTGTGGCTTTCCACCCTGACAGCAAGAGGTAAATGAGACCAACACAGCTTTTGATTGTTCAAAAAATAGTTACATTGAGGGCAATGTAGGTTTTTTTGAATGCGTTTCAGCTCTCCTCAAAAGGCGTTTCCAAGAGGTAAAACGCCATAAAAAAAAAAAACTACTTTGTCCAGTTGCCCTCAGTGTAACTATGTTTGGATTAAATGACTGAGAACCTACACGGACAGCTTTTGATTGTGTCATTCATTGTGCTTTGTATGCTGTTGTCATTGTCTTGACATATATTGCCATGGAGGAGAAGACTTGTGAAGCAGGTCACTTGTTTTTTGCTGGACTGAGTGTTTTACTGAAACGTGTAATTCAGCTCATTCCACGATAGTCACTTTTTTGGCCATCGAGAGCTGTATTTGACTTAAGACTGTTGTAAACTTTCCAAATTAAGCAGAACTGAAAAACCCTCTTCTAAAGGTAAAGAAAGAGGGAAAAAACACTTTTTTTACTTAGGGTTTTTTTTTTAGTAATGTAAAAATTCATTGTGTGACTGTTGTAAACCTTTCAGAATAAAGAAAATTGTTGGACCATTATGGGCATTCATTTCCAGATATTTGAGCAAATATGAATTGGGTTTGTCAAAGTCAAGGGTAAGAGTAAAGAAAGAGAAATGAAAAAAAAGATATATAATTTTTTTTACTTGCTTTTTTTTTTATTTTTTTTTTTTTTTTTTACAAAAGGTTTGCTATTATTACGACCTTACGTACAGTATTTCCATCTCTGGTTTTCTTCACTTTGGCGATTAACGCGTCATGTAAAGGACTAGTATTCAACAAAGCGTGTGGACGGTTTGTGTTAAAACGGTCTGCACGCTGCCGAACAGCAGAGTGGGGAAGCCGGTTCTAA